AAAAAAGTTTCTTGGACATGCCATGTTTTTGCTTTACATAGTAAGATTTGTCTTTGTGCTTTTGGGTGAAGAGAACTATAAAACAAGGTTTGATTATTTGTCTAGTCGAATGTGTATGTTCAATACAACTTCTTGTATTGTAATCTTGTTTTTTCTTTTCTTGCTTTTTTTTTTATTTTTATTTTTTCCTGGTTTGTGGTTTGTGGTTTGGATCAAATGAGGTAGTATGAATAGAAGACACTCGAGAACACCATGGTTGGCTCTATAGATACCAAATAAGAACCATAATAAAAGTATATTCTCCTTTAAATCTTGTATTATAAATCAAATATATAATAATATATATTAAGTATGATTTACTCGTTGTTTTTAAACCAAATTCAATCGGACAGTCCGATTCGATGGAATCGGTTTATCGAGCGATTCAGTTCGCTTTAATAAAACATTTTCTAGCAAGCTAGTTAAAACAAGTCGGTCGGACGAGTAGGATCTGTAAGATTTTTATCTCATAATAATAAGAAAAACAAAAATAACAATTTATATACATAGTTTTGAATTAATTATATTAAAAAATAATATTGAACGTACATTAAATATTTTCATTACATAAAATAAAAAGAAAAAGATTACTTTCTATAAATTTTATAAATAATAATTTAAAATAATAATTAAGTATTATAAGGTGAACAAGAATAAAAAAATAATTACTGAAATCCAATTTATATTAGTTAAACATGTTAGAGGGATAATATATTATTAATAAAATTACATGCTAGCCCTAACTGACATAAGTTTAACATTATGGCTAAAAAACAACACCGATTAATAGATATGGAAGATTGATAATCTAACTATTGTTGCGCCTAAATGAATAGACCATATGAAAATAACTCGTTTAACATATCTCTCGTGCATCCTTGTCCATAGCACATGCTAAACAGTAGTGGATATATTCGTGCTAAACTTATCCATATTTGTTATATTGTACCAATTAAAGTACTACTAGTAATCGATTATGTGCACATGTATATACATAAGTAAAGTATTATAAGTATATGTACTCAAATATATTAAAATTATAAGTTGGATAATAGCATCATTTTGATGAATTATCATTAGAAAAAGTAAACAATGTAGATGTATTTAACTACATATGAATCACTATATTGATTGCATAAAATAATAATAATGTATTTTTTTATAATTTTGATGGATTGTGACCAATTAATTAGCTTAAAAACGTTTACTATTATAACAATTGCTTATGCAATTATTAAGAGTTTGACTATGCTATTAAAATCAATTAGTTTATTTAATAAATCAGTTCGTTAATGAAATTGAAAAAAAAAAAAAAAA